TATTTTAAAAGTTTTTTCTCTCAAGAGGCTAAACCGTTAACCCGAGCACCGACGGGGGGGCTGTTATCCCCCCCCCCCTTGAGGTTATCGTGAATAGCGGGAAAACCGCGGCGCGTAGCGCCGCGAAATTTGGCATGACTATTTTCTCATTAATTTTACACATGGTGTGCAAGTTTGAACCTCCTAACTTTTAAGGTCAGATCACCAGGTTACTTCGAATGACCCAACCTCAAATCACTTTTTTGCAACTTTGTCACGTCGTGTCAGAGCTACAGTAGATAACGGAGTATGATTCGATGCGGATTGACGAGAGGATCACGATGGTGCCCTTAGTTTGTTCCTAGCTTGGCTAATTCGAAAGTTATTCGAGAAAAACTCTTCATATCTAGCGCCGCCATTTTGACTTTTTTACCCCTGTGACGTCATCTTTGACCTGATCTGGAAATGACCTAATTAAAAATTGTAGACCTTGTCCGTGCGTACCCCATGCCGTTTACCGCTTGTCGCTATCTTGCTTCGTTCTTGAGATCTCAGGGGGCGGGCGGTCATCCGCCCCCCCCCCCCGTCGGTTCTAAGTTGGCGCGGACCCCCGTCGGTGCGCGGGTTAATCGCAGGTCAATTCTGAGAACAGTTTACGGAAAAAACGTTAAAAGAACTATTGAATGCGTTTTTTTTTGTGGCGCTGCAGCTCTGTTTGTACCCGGGTTATGCGCCGGAGTTGTCAAACAATGTTGAAATAGGCAAAATGTGACCTTTGCTGACTTATGGTGACCTGACCTTTGACCTGACCTAGAAAATGACCGAGTTACTTTCGGCATGATTTTTTACGCTCTTCCGAATGCCACGTACGCTTACGTGTCGCTACGTGGCCCAGGAGCCGAGAGAGAGGGTGTTCAAACGCCTCCCCCACCGCCTGTCCCAAACGCCATCCGTGGCGCAACCATGGAGCTCATTTTGTTCGGAGAACTGTAAACAGGAGCAGCCCCATGAGGTCAGTCGAAAGGGTCCCATCATCGGCTGTTGCCTGTTCCTCGGGCCCCATGGCCTGGGCAGGGCCTTCTCAGCGGGCCCTTCCGTTTCTGGGGCCCGGCCAGGACAAGCTGTTTCTGAGACTGGGCACGGAAGTGTATCTCGCTTTCTTGATACGTTGTCGAGGCCGAGGGACCAATACTTAAGCTCAAAAGCCTGCTTCAAGGCTTTCTGAGCGGGCCCTTCCGCTTTTGTAGACCTCCCGGGCCCCCGGTTGTCATTGGCTTGGCCCGGTCCGCTTGTGGGGCCCGGCTAGGGACCCATATGAGCACCGGCAAGACCCTATGGGCCCTTTTTGGACCCGAAAGCCTGGGCAAGATCTTCTCAGCGGGCCCTTCCACATCTAGGGCACAGACAGGCCCTGTGACTGGGCACGGAAGAGGATTTTTTTTTCGGATCCGCTAACCATAACTTCTCCGGGACCAATTAGCTCAAAAGCGATACCTTTGGGCCCGATAAGGGACCCGTTTGGAGTCCGGCAGGGCCATAGGGGCCCTTCCTCAAGCTCGAAGGCTCGAGCATATCCTTCTGAACGGGTCTTTCCGCTTTTGGGGCCCTGCCGGGCTCCAAATTGCCCTCGCTCTGCCCAAAAGTGGGCCGAAGGGCCCAGTTACGGACCTGTTTGTGGCCCGGCAGGGCCCCAGGGGCCCATCCGCGAACCAAAAAATTCGAACAAATCCTTCTGAACATGCCCTTCCGCTTTTTGGCCCAGCCGACCCCAAATTGTTCCTGACTAGGCCCCAAAGCGGGCCCTTCGGGCCCGCTTTCTTGCTGCCTAGCGGGCCCTGCCGGGCCCGCTTTTGGGGCCCGGCAGGGCCCAGGGGGGGGCGACCGCCCCCGTCGCCCCCCCCCCTTGGATACGTCCCTGATTGTGCGTGCAGTATTTAGTGGCTTACTAGAGACTCACCGTTTCCACTGGGCAGTGGATGATTCCATATTGCATAACGCATAGACCACTATATATCTGGACTGTGCACGGAAATTAGGGCCCTGCCAGTAGGGCCCTAACTTTCGAAGGTCGTCACAGCCAACTTATTCGCCATATGATGATGTGCTTTGGGAAACATCACCACTAGTCAATTTGTAATCTGAGTTATATCTTACATTGAGCAAAAAATATATAATATTAGCGCAATCATCGAAAAAAGAAGGGCATTTTCTGCCCATTTCTTCCATGATTTAACATGGTGTGGATGATGGTTCCCAGCTAATTTTCACGAGAATTAGCAAATTTTCACAGACATGTAGCGAAGATTTTTGCACGATTATTGTTGTTTGTTGTTTATCATTTACATGCGGGATAGTTCTCTTTTGTCTTTAAATAAAATGAAACCTTTTAATGCATACATGCCACTGAAATACAGTAAAATGTGCCGCTAGTGATAATCACTTCAGAATATCCTATGAACAGAACAGGGAGTGAGCATATTCAAAGAGCCAAGACAGTGCATGCAACAATGTCAGTTTTCCGGTTCCTGGCTAAAGCATCAATATGAAGTCAATTTCTATATGCCCTAAAGCTGAAAATGTCTTGGAATTCTGACCACTGGGCTCCCTGTGAGTTTTATTACATGCTGTGACGCTGGCCGAGACCGAAAAATTGAGCAGAAGACAACTGTAAGGAGAGGTGGCGGATCCGTTTCCAGACTGGCGGCTCCTATAATATCAGTCACAAGTGAAGCCCAAAACTAGCTAAAGTCTTGCAATTTGGTCAAGTGATGGTCACATATGTTATGGCTTGCGGAGAGCTGGCGTGCCCACATCAGCAATCTGTGTTCCGCTCCTGCATGCAAGCAATGGGTCCTGCTCTGGTAGGTAACAGCTGCCGAGTCGCTCTCTCTTCGGCACACGTATAGCTTCAAACGTGTGTTTCAAGACAGCGCGACTACCATTGTAAAGGAAAACGAAAACTTTCTTCACATTGCTCGCTGAGGGAGTCACACTGTCGAGAAGCACCTCAAGTTACAACGCTACGACCTGCATTCCTTCAACACATTGATGTGTATAGTTGAGCGAAAAACAAACATTGCAATTCATGGAGTCAATATGGACAGTATACCGTCACTCAACACCAGCGATGCGCGAACAGAGCTTCATGAAATAAGAAAGCTTCATGAAAATGAGAAAGGTTGAGCCGCAGGACGTAAACACAATGCAACATTCCTGGGATCAGTTTGTCTATGCAATCAATAACTACGATCCTATTCGTCGATGTGTAAGATACCTACATGGCTGAGAATTTCAGATGTGGATTTACAATTCGAATAGTAACTAAAGGCAAATGTAGCACAAGAACTATAAGAAAGTGCATTCCTAAGTGCGAAGCTCTGCTGCAGTGTCCAGTGAACCGAGATCTCGTGACTCCGTCTAAATCTCGAATCTCGATCGCCATCACCCGCTGCAAAATGCGGCCACCGTCACTGACAACGGTGTTCAAAAGTCCCCTTCTCTCGAGAGGGACAGATGACAGAACCCGTCTGTCCCTATGCTGAGCATGAAATCGGCCTCAGTGGAAGCAGGGAACAGTTGTGGTCCAGCAGGTCACCTCGGACGGTCTCGCTAAAAACGCAGCACCGGCAGCTTTGTTATTTACCCATAGGAATCTTCGTAATTCCGTGGCGCAGATCGTGTGGGCTTTCAAAGCATTGAGCCGGGTGCGTGTCTGATTTAGACAGGCAAATTAATCTGCAGTGTGTCCAATATGTCGTCAGACTGTCTCTTGTCAAAAACGACCGATCACGGATTGTTCCTGTCTATTGATGCTTTGAACTTAATACAGTGTGATATACCTGTCTATAAGTGCTTTTATTTATTTATCGTGTTAAAAATCATGCTATAAATTATACATTTATTAAAATATACATCACATTTAAGAAGTTACTTTCATTTAAATGGGCTTACTAGAGCGTCAATACACAATTCCGCGTGCTACGTCGAATTTCCCAGCAGGGCCCTAATAGCAGTCGGCAAAATCCGTGCACAGTCCAGATATATAGTGGTCTATGCATAACGTAGTACGATAAAATAATTTGCTGCGTTAATTAACAAATACCGTAATTCAGTAACGTAGCAATATATAACGTATCGTAATTCGGTATCGTAGTTTTGGCCAAAAAAGCAAACGTAGCGTAACGTAGTGCGTAACGTAGCGTAGCGCAGGCCAACTCTGCAAGTATTGCAGATATCGATCCGCAAACTTTCAAGACCTCTCCGGACATCAATTTCAATTTTCACATAGGTATTGCGACCATGGGTAGAAAAATTACATCCGTGACCCTTTTTATGCCTGGGGTCATCTCAAGTCATTCAAGTTCTCCAACACCTTTTTGCAATAACTTTTGACAGACATGCGAGAGCGATGAAAACACCTTAGATGCGTTCAAGTCAACGGTACGGATCGACTGATATCAACGGTCAGGTCATGCCCTTGACCTGAGGTTGAATTTCCAAAATGACCTTTTAACGTCAAATTATAGTTCATTCGACGCGTCTTGATTAGGGGAACACGATGCTGGCAAAATAAACGCTATGCCTTGCATTAGTCCAAAGGTAAGAAAAAAACATTGTTCATAAAGCTTTTTGTTTTCCTTTTGCTCTCTGGAGAGTGGAGGCTAAACTGTTGACCTGAGGTCAAATCTGAGGACACGTCCCGGAATGAAAAGAGCTATCGAATGCGCTTTTCCGCAACGCTGTAGCTATTGGCTTACCGAGTTATGCGCCGGTGTTTTGAAAAATGTTGAAACAGGCAACATTTTACCTTTGACGACCTGATCTTTGACATGACCTAAAACATGAGCGAAGTGTTTTCGTCTCGATTTTGGACGCTCTCTCGAATGCCGCTAACCGCGTGTCAATACGCGGTGCATGGGGGCCGACTTTAACGAGGGGACGTTCATTGTTCAGACAAACACGCAAAATTCGTTGATACAGCCAATCCAATTACATACCTTCCTCTTAATAGCCTCGAACACTTTGTCCTGATTGTCATCGCGGAGCTTCTTGCCTTTCCTCCGCTGCTCTTGTTGACGTGCTACACGAAGAGCTTGCCGTTGTGCCTCCAAATCATGCCCACATGAGCATATCCTTTCTCTTCCCCGAACTCGTTGTCCACAGGATGCACACTCTTTCCCGGCTGAAACGAGAATGAACGGGTCAGGGATGGGGACTTTCTGTGAAGTTCAGATCCTTAACACGCGCAGTGGAAGGGTTGCGAGTATCTAGGTACTACGTACGCCCAGTGGAAGGGGGGCGGATGTCTCCCCCCCCTAAGATCTCAGCTCCCACTGGAGCTAGAAACACGAAATTTGGAGGATAGGTGGGGGCCCTGGGGAACTCTGTTGTGTGTGACTTTCATGACCCTAGGTCAATATCTTCAAGGTCAAATGAGGTCAAATGTGATCAAATCTGCCATATGAGCGACTTTTTTTGCGTTTACACGCCGATAACTCAAAAAGGTACCGGCCGATTTTCTTTTTTCTTTCACTATACGAAAGAATATACATTTGTGAGTATGAATGGTGAATTTCTAGTTAATCTAACAATAAATATGGCAGCTAGAAGCCTGCTAAGGGTAAGATGTCGCCGGCTGAAGCGGGATCGGCCGACGCGGGGAATGCGGCAATCACAATTTTGTGTTTACACACTCAATAACTCAAGTTGTTACCGGCCGATCTTCAAAATTCTTTAACCATGAGATTGCCTGTACATTTCTTAGTCTTCCCACAAAATTTGACGTGAATCGAATGTAATCAGCGATAAGGAGCGCGATGTAAAGACGGAACCGTCCCGCCCCGGCACAGTCTACAATTCAGGCGGCGCGTAACGGCTAGCGTCGAGCGCCGCCCCGCCGCGGCGGCAGGATGTTTGCTTTACACCGCTATTAAAAGAAAAGTTGTGACCCGATTTTCTAATTTTTTGCACGAGAAGATCTGCAGTTCAATTCTGGACAGGAAACCGAAATTTCACATTAATATCATGTTTTTGGCGCGAGTTATTGGCGAAAAACAGGAGGGGTGGGCGGAATCCGCCCACTCCTCTTCCACTGCGCGTGTTAACTGTTAACCCTCGCCCCGCTGTGTTTTTTCCTGAATAGCAAGAAAACGGCGGCGCGCAGCGCCTGCTAAATGTTTAGTACATTCCCGAGCATCAATTTGACATCTTCACACAAAATTTCAAGTATTAGGTCACCTTAAGTCAGGAGTTATTGAGGTCATGCTCAAGCAAAAATGAGCAAAAAACATGAAATCTTGAAACCCTCACAAAAGCCACAGTTAGCTTGCAATTTCAAAGTTCTTTATATGGTCATGCAGATAAAAGACGGCGCTACAAAACTGCTATCTCGGATTATCAAATTTCTGGGGGTTTGACCCCCAAAATTTCAAAAAGAAGTTGGACACGTTTTATTTCCTGGACCACCCGGTAAATAAGCCTCTATGTTACTTACCTCGTTTGGGTTCGCTCCCCATCTGACTGCCCGGCGTAGATCTTGCGGACATTGCCGATCCGGTCGCTTATCCCAACTCCTGGCGAATGATTGGAACAACGTGAGTTATTCCCACTCTGCCACTGCGAAGAGAGAAAAACGTCACGGAATGTTTGCTTATGACGTCATGTAAGCTAAAATGTATATATTTATTAGGTACGCGTATGTCACTGATACAGGTAACGCGGAAAAGGGCTACCTTCGTGAAATATGAAGATATCGATGTTTTTTCATTCTGACATTATTTTCCATGTAGGTACCTTTTAACCCGCGCCCCGCTGGAGGGGGGCAGAATCTGCCCCCCCCCCCTCCCGTTTTTCGCCAATAACTTCTAAACGCGTTACGACAGCGACGTCAAACTTTCAGTACCTTATCATACATCAATTTGACACGTTCCCTGAAAATTTGAGCGAAATCCGTCGGAAAATTTTTGAGAAATTGACGTTTTAGTGACGTCATGTTCGCCATTTTCGCCTCAAAAATGGCAACATTTCAAACGCCGCTAACATCTTCATTTTTAAAAGGAATCAAGACGTAACAAAAAAGGTTATACGTGATTCTACTTTGTCTATCAAATGGCTATCTCGTTTTTTTTGAAAATTTTGGATTTTGACACCTGTTTAGGTCTTAACAACCAACTTCAAAATTTGACCTCACTTGACCTGACCTTGACCTGACCTCGACCTGAAATTCATCCAGAGGTGGTCCATATCACTTATTGAGTGTGCCTATTGAATTCTATGAGTAAAATGACCCATAAAACATGTGTCGCACATGCCCTTTTCTATATTTTGTTTTTGGTGAACTGATATGACCTGACCTGACCTTGACCTTGACCTTTGAATGACATTGTATGCAACGAATATTGTCTTGGTAGTCTAAGAACACGTTTTGGGCAATCAGTCTCAATCCATTCTTCGGCAACTACGGTGCAAGGCTGATACTGTAGAAACTTGCATCTTGTACCTACCCTTGACCTGACCTTGACCTGACCTCTGACCTACTTCAGCAAAAAAATTGGGCTCTTAAGATCCGCCTTGTTGAGAGCTTTCGATTGCCGTTTTCCCCGTCTTTCTACGACCATCGGTTCGGAAGTTAGACAGGGGGGGGCAGAATCCCCCCCCCCCCAGCAGGGCGCGTATGGCTGAATAGCCCAGCGGGGCGCGGGTTAAAACAAGGTGCCGCTTCCAGATCTCGAGAATGGCTGGGCCGATTGTGCTCAAATTTGGCACATCGCTAGAGACCGGTTAGTAGGGTGCCGAGCACAAGTCAGTTGGAAGTATCCCCTCGTTATTTACATTAATAATGATCCTTCAACAAACATTAAAACAGATCAACTTAGGTATATCAATATATTCTTTCGGGAGCTGCTGCCGCTTTCATCAGCCGTGCCAAGTATAGGTACCGTTAAAAAAAGTATGTGGTCACTCTGTCTAGGGTACTGACCTTTTGATTGTAGCTTGGATGGTGCGGTCGGGTTCGAGTTTTCCACTTGGTACACTTATTGCGCAATTACTTCGTCTTTCCGCCACTGCTTATGCCGCTGTGGTGCGGAGGACACCGATTAAGTTGTACGACTGGTGTGAATAAATGTATTGCTACATGCAATGTGTGGAATACCGATGCAGCTCTTCAATCTATAGGTAACTTTCTGGTCAAACTGTAGATCATTTTTCAAGTTTTCATTCCGAGAGTATAGGTAGGTACCTACAGAATAGCCGTTTTCAGGACGGGCTATCCGGCGAGTGCACCTGATTGAACCTGATTTGACCAAATCTGCACCTAATTTCTTTTACAGCAAATATCTTTATTTTATGAATTTATTTCAGTGTTTTAATCGATGATACTCTTTGATGATATGACAAAGCAGGCATATAAGCAAATAGTGCAACCCTAGCTGATAGCTACTAAGAGGCACACTGAACCTGATTTGACCAAATCTGTACCTGTCTGCACCAGATGTGCACCAAATGTGTAACAGATCTGGCCGTCGTGAAAACGGCTAATATTTAGCTTAACGCTTACAGATAGACGAATAGTGGTAATGTCAATATCGTGAGACTCTCACTGTAAAAAAATCATAACACGTTTCGTGTTATGTTATTGGACAAAAACGACTCGGTATAACCGTGTGATGTTACACGTTTAGTGATGTTATCTTACACGGAAAGGCCGTGTTAGGTAACACTAGGACGAGTTCTAAGTCTATCGTTTGCAGTGTTCCGCTACTCGCTTAAGACGTGCTACGAGTTTGATAACTCGTCATTGACTTTCTAGTGTATTGAAAGGCGTGCTACAATACTCACATTAAACATGTAAGGTGTTAATTAGCTACACTCGTGTTACTGTGCTCTGCTTCGGAATCCTGTGTTATGACATATCGGAGTACCTATAAGATGTTATTGAGCACGCTAAAAACGTGTAACGTGTTTCGTAGCTCGGTTCGTGTTCATATACTTCCCGTCCAGTACCTCCTTTTAGAATGCATATTAACTCAAATTGAGCTGCATTACACGATTCAATGATCATGTTGAATGAATATATAAATATATAATTCATGTGGACTTATTATTACGGTGAAGTATTATTTGATGCAAACGGGGCTGTAACAGGCCGAGTCGCGTTTAAACAGAGGTAACGTCTTCAATCGCAATAAATCGACATGAAGTATACATTCATACAATTAATTCCACATTATTATTGAGGCGTGTAACACAGTTCGTTTTGCTTTAACAAACATCCTCGTTAGCCAAGTTCATTAAGTCTCAGAGTACAAATCTATTCATTAGGTATATATTTCAACAGGCTGTTCAATGTTCACAGTAAATATGCGCTCTGAGCCTCATCAGCAGTAACGTCACGGCGGACGAGCAGTGGACAGTGGTCCTCCGCGATCAGCAACACTGGTATTGTGAAAAACACCTATGAACAACACTTCTTTGGACTTTGGGCCTGGCAATGGGAGAGTACAGGTGTCGTTTCAAATGCATTCACTGGCGGGGTCTTCAGCTTGTCGAGCCGATCGTCGCAACTTTTTTTAACGACTTTCCGGTCGACATTTGGGAGAGCTCTTGCGTCAATACTAGATGGGAGTTCTGAGCGCTGGGGCATTGGATTTTCTCATTGAACGCGGGGAACATTGCCGCACAAACTAGGAGGCGCACACTCAGAGGCGTGTTGTCTTCGGAGATGGCAGCCTCGCTTCCCTCCGCCCAATGCCCATGACACTAGCGGTACGAGAGGAAATTCTAAAAAGCGTCCAACTTCTCCTGGTCCGTGCCTGAAATAAGAAGGAAATAATGTTAGTAAACGACAAAGTGCATGAATGAACGGCATAATGATACACACCTTAACTTTCGCACGGGTGGGGTTGGGGGGAGGGTATGCCACACCTGCCAGTTTTTTTTTTGCGAGTGTAAAAAAAACGCGGCCAGCAGCGCTGCGAAAGTTGGTAGGTATAGCTTATAATAAGGGTGATTTTTTTTAACTGTTAAAAAGCAAATGTCAATGGTGGTCCCTAAATCGAAAAATCGCGTGCAAAAAAGCAATGCACGTGATAGATAAATCTGGGACATTTTGTATGGTGTCATGATTTGCCCCTTTTAACCGAAGGCCTCGGCCCCTGGTGCCTGAAAATGTCCCACCAATCGGGCACGCATGGTCCACCGCCGTTCAGTAAGGAACGACACAAAACGATGATTTTAAAGCATTGAGGCAGTTCGAAGCATGCGATCATCGAGGAGATATCCCAGAAAGACGTTAAATAATGCACGAACAAGCTTGTAGTCATAAATAACCTTCAAATGGTCCATCTGGCGTATGTGCAGCCTCTGAAGAATCAGTCTTCAGGGAGAAAGAAAAACAGCGAATCAGACACCACCAGGGCAGCCAGTATCGAAATCCTCGACCTGCCCTTCATAGACTTCTAGATTTTGGACCCAGCTATGGCAGATTATGGCACAATCTGCAGATTATGGACCATTATGGCAGATTATGGACCCAGCTATGGCACAAGAAAACATTGGAAATATCTGGCAGAGCTAAAAATGGGTGATAGGAGCCTTTTCAGTCCGCCTAAAGGGTCTAGGAGTCCACGGTGCTGTTCAACACGTGCTCAGGCGGGCTGATTCGTGTCGGTGACTGAGAGGGGGCAACTTCAAGCACAAGTAAAATACACGATGGACGTTCCTTCACATCGTGTCTGCATGAAATCAAAATGTCCCAGAATGCTTGTCATCCTGGTATATAATTTTGCAATATATATTTATATTTCAATGCCACTAGACCTCATTACTTTTTAACAAGTAAAAAAAATCACCCTGTACATCAATTTCGCATCGTGAGTAATATTTTCGACCCCGGCTCACATAAGGTCAGGTCACAGGCCAAGTTAACCCTCGCCCGCACATGGGGGGGGGGGGGGGTTGCCACCCCCCAGGCAGTCTTTCTGCTCTGCACTCAACATTTTTAGAGCTAGAAGGCTGATTTTTCGTATAGCTGCTCGTCTATCCTTTCTTGATGTCCACTGAAAATTTCAAGTGTCTGTGATTTTTGGTTTCGGAGATATGACCTTGTTTTTCAGGTCATGTCATGACCCAAATGGCCAATTCTCAACATCTTGCGTTTGCCATGGGCCTTGTGAGCTTTTGACACCCTGATTTCGGCCTTTTTTGCCAGTCTTAGGGGAAAGTGGGGTAAGACGGTCAGGGTAGGTAAGACGGGCACCCCTTCTGCAGACCAAACCAATAGCGCTACGAGCGAGAAAAATTAGGACCAGAATTGTCTTTCCCACTACACACCACCATTGAAGTTTGGTGATTTTGTGTTCAGTCGATAATCTTTTATTTTGATTTCTTTAAAACACTAATTTCATTGAAAACATCCATAATGTATTGTGCAAGTTTTTGTGTGCAGCACTATACAGCTAAAAACTCGCAATCACTTGTGGTACACTCATATGCCACCAGTGTTCATTTACCGCGGATTTGCTTTGTCTGCATCAAATTGTCCACAGAGAAAAATTGTGCTGAACTTCTTACATTGAGTTAGGGGTAAGACGGGCAACTATGAATCCAATGGGTCTGTAATGGTGAAAATATTTTTGTTGCTGTAGGAAAAAAAGAAGCATTTCTTATAAGAATATCTTCGATTCCGATACTCACAGACATGTTAGCAATATTCCTTCGGCACAGTTTATTCTCGAATGATGAATGTGAAAAACGGTTCTACATGACTTCTGATCTAGGGCCTATATACGAGCATACGCCTTCTGCACAAATCTTGTATACTGCCATTTCCGAGGCACTTGAGACCAACGAGCGACTGTATCAATGCAGCTAATTTCGGGCATTTGTTGCGAGCTGTACTGGTCGGTGAAAGAAGCTGGCCGTCTTGCCCTACCCATGTGACCGTCTTACCCCATGGGGTGGGGTAAGACGGGTTTTTGCAAGGTTTTGCAAAAATAGCTGCAGTTTATTTGTTGAATCAGGTCTAAGTCTCATCTTCTGGCAAATGGAAGTAAAATGTCTAAAAGAGGTTTTCACTCAGTTTCCCGTTTCTATGATGTTTCTAACCGGCCGAAAAATGGCTCCAAAGTTAAGGTGTCCGTCTTACCCCACTTTCCCCTACCTCCCACCTATCATGGAACATGTTGTTCGACGATGTACAGGGGTCAAGGTCAGGGTCAAGGTCAACCTAGGGCATCTAAGATAATTGCGTTTTAGGCAAGCTGAATTTACTTTTTGTGAAGTTTTTTTACTGCATTTTTGGTAAAAGCTTCTCAGATCATGATTTCATGTGATATGGACCCAAAAACAATCGGTGCACACATCAGTATACACACAGACACACACAGACATACAAACACATATAATTGACCTTGACCTAACTTGACCTGAAATGACCTCAGCAGCATAATTCTGGTCGGATAGTGTCAGGGGCGTAGGCAGGGGGGGGCCACTGGGCCATGGCCCCCCCCTTGGGCGCCGAAGGCGCCCTTTGCGATTGGAGGGCGCCGAAGGCGCCCTCCAATCGCAAATGCAATTGTGATATAATCGAATCGAAAAACAATCGCGACTGGAGGGCGCCCTCCAATCGCGAATGTGTTTACAGGGAAAATACGGATGGAGGGCGCCCTCGGAGGACGCCCATTCCAAATACGCCCTCCAAATACGGTTGGAGGGCTCCCTCGGGCGCCCTCCAACCACATTTGTAGGCTGTAGCTCTCTAAGCGTAACGGTGGTCGCCTATGTAAGCCGCTGTCCTGTAAATAAGCGCCCTCTCACCCGAAGGCGCCCTCCTGTAGGTCGCCACCCTGCTACACATTGCCGCCCTTCTGCTGATCGGCGTCCTCATAATTATTGGCGCTCTCCTACCTATTGAGCCCTCATGTGAAATTTTGAAGGCCGCCTTTCTCCCTTTTGGCACCCTCTTGTTCAGTGCCGCCCTCCTACCTATTGGTTCCCTAGTCCTTCCTGTTGAATGTTAATCGGGGCCCTTCTCCTATTGGCGCCCTCGTGTAGATCGCCGCCCTCCTAACCACTGGCACCCTCCTGTTGATCACCGCCCTCCTATCCACTGGCACCTTCCTGTTGACCAGCGCCCTCCGCACAGACGCCCTCCTGTTCGTGTCATCCTCTTGAGCAAAGGCGCCCTCCTCACCATTGCCACCCCATTTTAATCGTCACCCTTCCGCTCATTGGCGACTTCCAGTTGATGACCGCCCTCCCACCTATTGGCGACCTCTTGTTGATCGCCACCCTCCTATTGGTGCTCTCCTGTTCCTCGCCACCCTCTTACCTGGTGGCGCCCTCCTGTTGATTGTTGATCGGCGCCCTCGTACCTATTGGTGCCCTCCTGTTGATCGCTGCCCTTCTATCCATTGGCGCCCTCCTGCTGCTCGCCAACTTCCTACCTATCGGTGCCCTACTGTCGAAACTCGGGATGTTGATCGGGGCTCTTCTACCTATTAGTGCCCTCCTGTGGATCGCAGCCCTTCTACCTATTGGCAACATCCGTTGATCGCTGCCCTCCTATCATTTATTTACTCCTTTGGCATGTTTTTCAACTTAGTCGTTCTATTGCACATAGTTGATGTCTTGCCTGTGAAAACTGCCACAAATGAACGTGCATTCAGCACAATGAATGAAGTATCTATACCTACCAAAACTATCTACGCTCTACGATGCATAAAACACGTCTTTGGTCTTAACGGATTGATCCTACTTTACGTGCATCATGGCATCTATATGGATTACGATTAAGTATTGTCAACAGGTTCAACAAAATCGCCAACGAGGACCAGAAGATCGGGACTATGCTGATTAGCTTCAAGGACACAGTCAGGCAAGTAATCATAGGAATTGAGAGAGATTGTCGGTCGCTAGTGCTGTTCGGTGGAAGATAAATTGAGCAGCGTCGTTTTATGGAATTTGATTTTCACCCATATTGATAGCTCCGAAACGTTAAAGCATAGAAGAAATGACTACGACGACTGGGCACAGCTATCGTTAACTCGTGCATCGTTGTCAGGTGGGAAATCATATCACACTGAGCACAAGACAATATATGATGGGCAATATGCAATATACACAAGGTCATGTAAAGTGATTATTTGGTTATGTTAAACACTGGACGCATGTACGGCCGGCGCTGTGCGAACCGGCACCGGAAACCCAGCCCCAGCCGGGAGGACGGGGGGGGGGGGGGTGCCGACCCGTCTGGGAGATGGGGTGCTCACTGCTCACTGCTCAGAGCGTAGGCCCGGCTCGCCAACGGTCACCGTTCGGGAATCGTTCCCTGTCGACACGCCCACTGTCGGAGACGGCGGGGTGAGCAGCTGATCGATGAGGTGTTGCCTGAGTCCGAGTATTTGCGCAGCTGCGCATACCGTCCTTATAGTGCCTTCGATGGTCGGCTGGTTAGCTCAGCGGCGGGGGCCGTCCCCTCGGCCGCCCCGACCGGCGGGGGGACCTCCCGCGGCGGCGCTCGGTCACCCACGCGTTGATGGCGTCAGTGGCCTGCCAGGCGGGCCCCGACCCGCGGCGCGCCGGGCGGGCTGGCTCGGTCTCCCGTGGTCGGAATTCCCGAAAAGCGTCGGCTCCCACGATATCTTCAAGGTCAGCTGGCTCAGCTGACCTTGCATATTAACCTTGCATATTAACAGCTTGCGCTGTTAATATGCGTTAAAGATAACACGCAGAATTAAAAAAGCAGGTTCTGTGGAATTCACCGTCTTCTGCTTCTTTCGCTGAAAACGTTCGTCCAAAACAGCAAACTGCCCTTTTCTCGACAAAATCTATTTCGAGCGTAGTATCGTCAATTAAAACAGGTGCACGGCGCATGACGTTGAGCCATAGGTACAGCGTTAACTCCGCCTCCGGAGTCGGAGTCGGTAAGATTTTGGCGAGTCCGACTCCGACTCCGGGAAGAACCGTCGACTCCGACTCCGCAGCCCTAATCTTGAGTAGGTATACAGGAAGATGTGTGCAAAGTTTCGTTTCTCTATCTCGTCGCGTTAATTGCGATGCTATCGTCACAGAAACAAAGGGGGGACAACTACATGCCCCCCCCCCCTAACGGCCGGCGGGTGGCGCGGAGGCCCATCGGCCGCCGGGTTAAATATACCTATGATTCTTCTCGTACTGCTGTGAAGACTGAAGGTTAACATTATTCCGTTTTATATCTTCTGTCGAGGGGCGTCTCCTGTCGCTGTCATCGTGAATGGGGCCGTCCCGACGCCGGGACGTACGGAGAAGTCGGTCCAGAGCCACTGCACCGCGCTGTTTGTGCGAGTAAGCCGTGGGCTACCGCTGCAGATCAAACCATGGTTGACACTGAAGAGTGCAGCGATACCACAGAGCTTGTTACGAAGACGGTGAGTGAAAAATAACCTCTAAGCCATGTGTCGCATACCGACGTAGCATAAGGTGACCTTTCCTGACCTGCCATGACCTTGACCTCCTCGAATTAATGCTTCTTCAGCCAAGATCAGGATGCAGAATAATAAAATGATTGGTGTGTTTTCGTCCTGAGTTTGGACGTTCTTTCGAAAGCCGCTTACTGCGTGTCGATACGTGACCAAGGAGCGGACCTGAAGGGGCCCGGCTGCGCGGTTGGCACCGAGCGGGTTAAGCTGCGTCGGGTCCTCTCGGTGGGGCTGGCCTCCCCAGCCCCTGACATGCGTGAGGCCGGGGTGTCGTCTGTGATTGATGAGGTATGAGGTGGCGGGTCCGAGGTTTGCGCTGCTGCCTGGTCCCTTGTACAAAGGACGCATCTACGATGGTCGGCTCAGCGGCGGGGTCCGTCCCCTCGGCTGCCCCGGCCGGCGCGGCGAGGGACCTCCCGCGGCGACGCTCGGTCACCCACGCGTTGATGGGCCAGGCGGGTCCCGACTCCCGACCCGCCGCGCGCCGAGCGGACTGGCCCGGTCCCACGACGCCGGAATTCCCTCCGCAAACTCTAAAATGCTGTACATATTGTAAAAGCACAGGAAGTGTTTCCTCTTCAGCGGACGCATAATGTTATTTCTTCCCTACTTGAACAAATCAGATCATCTAGACAGGGCAATGTGCATAATAGAAGTGCAGTATGCCGGATACAATCCCTCTTACATATTTAACAAGACAAAGTAGTTGCAACGTTGTTTGTATTTATACCGGTGGGTCCGTATCCACAATTTTATTCCATACACAGGTCGAGAGTAGTAATGGAGGTAAGTTAAGTTGTAAGCAAGAGAGACAGAGCGAGAGAGAGAGAGAGAGAGAGAGAGAGAGAGAGAGAGAGAGAGAGAGAGAGAGAGAGAGAGAGACAGAGACAGAGACAGAGACAGAGACAGAGAGAGAGAGAGAGAGAGAGAGAGAGAGAGAGAGAGAGAGAGAGAGAGAGAGAGAGAGAGAGAGAGAGAGAGAGACAGAGAGAGAGACAGAGAGAGAGACAGAGAGAGAGAGAGAGAGAGAGAGAGAGAGAGAGAGAGAGAGAGAGAGAGAGAGAGAGAGAGAGAGAGAGAGAGAGAGAGAGAGAGAGAGAGAGAGAGAGAGAGGAGAGAGAGAGAGAGAGAGAGAGAGAGAGAGAGGAGAGAGAGAGAGAGAGAGAGAGAGAGAGAGAGAGAGAGAGAGTGTGTGTATTTGCACGCTCGAAAGCCAATTATTGTCAGAAATCAGGTACACACAAAGACACATTATCATCCACACCGCCAACCAGAAGAGTTTACTGCTGGCAAAACACCAATACGGGCGAGGGTTAACGTGTAGTTCGATAATGAACGGGGATCCATTCTTCGGCACAGCTTAACTTCCGGGACCCAGTCTCTATATTTTTTCTTCTATGAATGAAAGGATCTTTTGGCTACTCCGCAGTGACCCTGAAACATTATTTATTTTTGCAGTGCATAAGCTGGAATGACGTGGGCAAAGTTAATTGCAAAGAAACGGTTTTAGTTTCAGAACATTTCTGAGGCTAATCGCGCCAAATAGTATACGTTATTGCAAAATGTCAAATAGAATGTTACGTGCTATCCAGATGATGGAATTTATACCGACACAAGAAGTCAAAAAGTGGCATCGTGAGTCATGTTGCATACCTATAAATCGATTCGTCAGCTCGGCTCGAGCTCAATAGTTCATTCGCGGATGATCGGTTCGTTTTTTTACAGTTTATGAGCCAGCAACCACCCTCCCAAGTCCCCCCCTCCCCCAACAGCAACAATTGTTGACAAATACTGTGATGGCCTAAAATGCCCTCAATTATGTTACGTATTTGGGGCTCTCAACTTTGATTTATTATTATTATTATTATTAATTCTTTTATGAATGGATGGTCGCATGAATGAAAGAATGAAAAGCTCTACATCATTTGAGTGTCAGATGAAATCCATCCTAAAATTTGATCTACCAGTCTGCAACGGAAAGGTTTAAAAACGGCAGCGCAAGTTAACCCGCGAGTTGCTGGGGGGGGGGGCGTTAAACGCCCCCACTTTTTTCGCCGGGCCATAGCATAAAAACGGCGCGCCGCAGGCGCGCCAAATTTTGGGTACCTGTAGGGAATTGATTGAAGTTTATTGTGACAAAGTTTCAAAAAAATCGGTCGGAAAATTTTTGAGATATCGAGGTTTTAGTGACGTCATGATTTCTGAGTTTTCGACCAAAAACGGCATATGTTCAAAAAATCATATAAAATCACACAACAGACATACAGACATGCCGTAACGCCATTAGATTGCCAATACCATGATCAATCAAATGGCTATCTTCGATTATTGATTATCGTTCCGCATTTTCCAAAATCTTGAACCGAATCTTGGCAATTTTTCGTGACTACTTCACGACCATGATACATGAATTTCTTAAATTGAACTTTTTGAGCCAAACACGTACACATATGATAAAATGAATGTCACCATCGTGTTCTACGCCCCAAATTCACCTATAAAACATGTGTCACAGGCTGCGAATATCAGTTTCGATTTTCGGGGATATGTGCCTACCCGATTGACCTGACCTTGACCCTGACCTATGCTTGACTGACCCCTATATGGAGCTGACACTCTTGTAGGCCTTATAGATGGATTGTGCACCGTTTTGACAGAGTTTATGGACGAGAGGCGCCCATTGCGAAGTCCTGAAGTCCATGCTACTGAAAGCCCGATTTCAGGTGTTTGACCTGACCTTGACCCGACCTGTGACCTCAAAATTCAACTTTGAAGTACTCATCTGAAGCGTCTCGTCGCGCTCTTTCGTTTGCCGCCTCGTGCGTTTCGCTGCGCCTATTGGTTCTCGAGTTATCGGCTGGGGGCGTTTAACGCCCCCCCCCCCCCCAGCAAACGGTGGGTGGCGAAATACCCCAGCAACTGCCGGGTTAAGTGCTGTTTCTAATCTATGCCGTTTTTTATCAAGTGTCTTATAGCTCCTCAATCTTGAGCCGCTTCTCTCACGATTAATTTTATATGATGCTTACATTATTCAAGAAGTTGCTGTTTTCGAGCTCGTTGGTCTTAAAAACTGCTATCGAAGTAACTTAAAGTGTTTCGGCACTTAAAAAACAATCGATATTTAAACCTCACCAATTTAGGCATTTTTCAGCGTCTAACATGTAGCGGAGGCGCGTAGAAACATTAAGTTGTTCGGCCCTTGATAATAGAGCCAGAGCTTCGCTGAAAAAGAAAAAAAAAGAGCGTGCTGCTCGTGACGAGAGAAATCCAATGATTTTAGGGTCCTGGTCATCGCTGACGAGAGAAAGCCAATTATCTTTACCTATGTCCTGGTCAATGTTGAGATCCTAGGTCGACCTCCCAGATCAGGAGGTCGGTAACCCAAAAGCACGGAAAATTGGGTCCTGCTAGAATTTCTCCAAGTGAAGTTTGCTGAGACTTGGCTTTCTCCTGACTTCGAATTTTCACTTGCTTTGTTCAAAGATGATGTATCAAAGCATTTCGGGTAGGACGGGTCACGCCAGATCATCCATTAGGATTTAGGCGTTCCGCCGGCTATCCATAGAATGTTAATTAACCAGCACTGACAGCCTTGTAACATGTTGCATAGGCACTATACCTGATACCAAACTATGCCTAGTTTTCAAATGCTAAAATGGGTGCTAATTTCAAACCAGCACTTCCTAAAAACCACGGTAAAAAGGTGTAAATTAAAGGAAGTTAACGGAGATCATTTCAAGTAAATGACCTTAACCTGA